ATTTAGAACTGATTTGAAATCTAGAGAGTTTAATTATTTTGATGTAATTAAATTCCATCTTGTTTATCCATGGATCTAGTCATGTTTTAGAAGTTGTTTCTATTTTAAGAGCATGGATTTAGACTTGTGATGTATTCACTTGATTGTGTTATATGCATTGAAGAACATTGTTGTTAAATTTATATTCATGAGAGTATGTTTCTAATATGAATATATTGTTGGCTTGTGATTTCATAGTATTATGGATATGAAATGCTTATTATGCACAATTGAGAGTTATATTGCTAACTTGTTACTATGTAGTAGTAATATGTATAAGTTATGAACTTATTTGGTTTATTTTGGAGTCTTGGGACATTGTTGTTACATGTGATATGGCTAAAGTTCGGCTTTAGTACGGGAGGTATGAGTTCTCTCTAATTGAGATAGTGTGCACTTAGGGTGGTTTTCCCTGCGGGTAAGTGCCCGGAACAACCATTTTGTTCTTGGCGGAAATCCGAGACGTGATGTCCAAGTCTTCCATTATTTGATTTCGCATTCAATTCCAAGTTGACAACTAATGTTTAATTGTGACTTGTGATTTTGGTTATTGGCGATTTGATGTTGTTAAGTACATCCATACTAAATTGGTGTATTTAGTTGATTTCACACTTTTAGATTTCTAGTTGATAAACTAGAGAATCTATATCTTGATGTGTGGTATTAGATATTCTGATTATGCTAAATTGTTATATTTAGTTGATGTTGCATTTTAGACTTCAAGTTGATAACCTTGAGAATCTATATGTTGTTACTTTGTGTAAGCATGCTCCTATATTGTTACTTTGTGTAAGCATACTCTTATGTCATTGCTTTGTATAAGCATGACCCTATGTTGTTAAAATTGCATGAACGAGGTGATTGATGCTAGAAATGATCTTAGGTAGCTAGGATGCTCCCTTAGTCTCACATTTGACATAGACGTTAGGTGGAATGAACCACAGTAATTAAATCATGTAAACTTGTAAAACATAGGTCGATGCATGCTCATTTCTTACGAGTAGCTTTATGTTACTCACCCACGTAGTGGGGACATTTTTCAGGTACAAGAATCGAGGTTGAGATTCTCATCATTGCTTGGATGATTGTGGCTTGAAGGCTTTAGTTTCTTTTGTGAAGGTTGGCTTGAAATGCTGTATGCAACCTTATTTGTTAAATGTATATATTTGATTCTAAACTTGTAATGTGTGCGTAAGCACACTTTTTGATTCTCATTTTATGTTTATGACATGAAGCCAAGGGCCAAACTTCTTTTGGAATTACATTTGTATCATGGATGTTAAATTTTTGCCCTTAATGAGACTATATGAAATTCATGCGTTTTAGTATGCTATTTTGCGCCGAAGTGTGCATTGTATATGAAAATTTTCCATTAGCATTCATTAATCATGTATGAAATGTGGCCAAGGGCCAAACGGCATTTTGAAACCATCTCATGATTTTAAATTCCAAGTTTTCGTTCCAAACTTCGTTTTTGGCATTTTGGCCGTTGGGGGGTTATATTTTGTATCGGCTGTATTTTTAAGCCGTGGACCATTGTAGCACATCTTATTAGGTAAGTTATGTTTGCGTGCATGGTCGTTTCCGGGTAAAGCTTCTTCTTTGGTGAAATGAGCCTCCTACGGACTAATTTTACACTTTTGTTGCATAATCTGACCTAAGGGTATTTTGGGATTTTTATTTGGGAAATAAATTCCGTTCCTTACATGGTCACTTATATAATGTGATTTTAGGGGGGGTTTCTTCTTTGTGTTTTTCCTGAAAATGTCGTCTTGGCATCGGAAACCATTTCCGAAGTTCAGCTTCTGTTGCTATTTAGCAGCTTTTTCGACCCTCTGGACCAGATTTCTTGGGAGGGCATTTTGGGCATTTCATAGTGTGTATTTTTCGATTTCTCTTGTGAGTCACATAGAAAGCTCAATTTTGAGGGGGGTTTTCTCTTTGTGTTTTTTCAAAAAATGTCATCTAGACCCTTAAATTTCTACTTTTTCCTGAAAAACCCCTGCTGCCAAGTTTTTGGGTTGCACCTTACTGCCCTCTTCACATCTAACCAGTTAGAAGGGGTTATCAAAACGGTTAGATGACTTGGGGCAGTATCTTGGTTGTGTTTTTTGGTCTCTAACCGGTTAGGAAGGTCTCCTAACCGGTTAGATGTTCTTGGGTTAGTACTTTTTGACTGTTTTGCCCCTGTTTCTTTCGTTAGCCATATCTTCTTCATCCGGATTCTGAATCAAGTGATTTTTGAGTCTAAGTTCATTGATTTTTCGTTGTCTTTCCAATGGTGTGCTCGGTAGCACCCACTTTTAAGCTAGAAATGATGTTTTTGCCCCTAGGTTCATTCTTGTTCATTTTTGTAACGTTGCTTCCGCATTCGATTCCTTTGGGTTCCATGACCTAGTTGAGGGTCACATTGGAATCTTAGAGTCATGTTGTATCTCTAGAGACTGTTGTTTGTCTTTTGCTTCCATATTTCATATCCGTTATCAAGTCATCTTTCAATTCATCATTGACGCACTGAGTTGAAAAACTTGGGCAGTCACAATGTATGTAACCATTTTGGGAATGTAATATAATATTTGTATTGTGCGTTGGGATAGGATATGTTAGATTTAAGGCCAATGAGGCCATTGCATTTATTTTTGTATTTCAACAGGTTGTAGAGGGACTTTTTTTGCGGAGGTCATGCCGAAATTTTATATATTTTTTAGTATTATTTTTGTATCCTTTTGAGCGTTACACCAGCCTCTTTGAATCTTCCGCATTCATCACGTCATCATGCTACCACCATGTTATTTTAGTCACTGGTTATGGTGACAAGAAGTGTAAATTGTGGTGGTAATGAGGCGTCGAAATTGTGTTTCATCCTTGGATCGTCGGAATTGTGTTTCATCCTTGGATCGTTGTTCATTCTCAAAGAGTGAGAGAGGCTGTGAGCAGAGCAAGAGAGGAAAGTGTCGTGCGCAAATAAGTTGTTGCCACGTGGAAGTCGGTTTTTTGTTGGGTATATATCTGTTGTCAAAAAAAGCATTTCCCTATATTTTTTTCCCAAAAAAGGTATCATTATTATTCGTGCTGCTGTCTGTCGGGAGATTGCAAGCATAGACATTACAATGAAGTAATCTTTGTGGAGCAAAAGTCGTAGGTTTTTCTTTTCGAAACAAACCATCATCACCATTGGTGCTGAAAGTCTATGTACTTGAACGTGCATCGAGTTACATATGAATGAATGAAAGGAAACTCTGTGTGTGTGTATATATATATATGTGTGTATATATATATATATATATATATATATATATATATTTTTTTTTTTTATGACTCGGAACTCTCGCAATTATTCACTCTTTTTACTTGTAGCTACCAAATAAATCCCTGGTTACTCACCCCGATCATAAGTAAAGGATAGTAATGAAGGTAATAATGGAGGTGCATGGGACCGAATCTAGGACAGATGAGTGTCTAGGTCGTTACCTTACCAACTCTACCAAGCTCTTGGGCCTTTCTTTGCAATCTTGCTACACGTTGTTACACTTTCTTTGTAATCATGTATTCATGTAACACATTGTTACACTTTCTTTACACTCATGTAGCTGGTGACGAAAGTTCTAACCAAGTAAAAAGAAAATCTGATATTTCTTTCTCATATTAATTTTATTTATTTATTTTTATTTTTTAGTCGAATAATTGGTTAATAGACGTGCACACGATCCGATTTAATAAGAGACTTAATCGAATCGGAACCACTCCCAACCATTCTAACAAATAGCATCTTCATGAATCACTTTGTCAAGAAACTGTAAAAATTATTATTTATTTAAAATCTCAAATTTTCACTTTGAAAGACAAAGATTAAAAACAATAATCATAGTTAACTTTTGGTAGATCAAAATTGTCACTGATTTTAAGCAGGTTGGAAGTTGAGACGACTACTCTCTTTAGTCGTCTCTTGGCCGATTGGCCCCCCCAAAAAACATTAAATACATAAACAATTCTTATCTCTAGTCTCTCCTCTCAAATACCCTAGAATGCAAAGTCACAAAGTCAATAAATGCACTTCTCTTAGCAGAGTTACCCCATTACGAGTTTCCAAACAAATAAAATAAAATAAAATAAAATTTTGGAACAGCTTCGGATCGAAAGGAAATTCTGAAATTCTACACATTTTATGAGCATTAATTTAACATTGTGTTTTAATCTCAGAAGTACAGAAATTATCACCGTTTTTCAGTTTTTGTTAATTTTGTTCTTCCAACTTTTGCGTCTCAAAATGGCCTTTACTGCGTCTACTAATAAAATTCTTGCATGAAAAAAGTACAATATTGAATGTAAATAATTTGAGAAAATCTTACTGAAGTTGACTCAGATATATAATGAAATTGTTACAAGTGCCCAACATTAATAAAGCTAATACAGATACCCAACAAGCTATGTAATAATAACAATTCACAGACCATATAGAGGACAAATACATAGCTAAACAATATGATCTTACAAACTGTAATAAGACTTCAACTGAAAGACAATCGAGGTTGCCATGACATAATTTGGTGGGAACATAGTCATCAATACTTCATCTGCATCTTCAATATATACTTATTTTTTATCATAATAAGAAAGCATGGTGTAGATAGCCTGCAGTGAGGTGAGGACAAAAAGGAGAATGGCAGCAAAGACTGATATGCCTGACCACGGATTACCAAAATAATCACGTTTAAGTTTTACTATAAATCTTGGCCAGAAAAGGTTGCAGTAATCGGTCACTTGTTTGCATTGCTCAGTGAAGTAGAAATCTTCTAAATAAACATTCTTGCAGATATTGTTGTAGAGATCTGCCACTGATTCGCTCGAACCCAAATAGTTGTGTATCACCCCTGCTTCAACAAGTAGATCAACATCCTTGGCGGTGTTGATGAGTTTGTCCATGAGAAAAGCATGAGATGTGAAATAAGGGTGATAGTAAGGGAAAAATTGCTCCATAGCAATGAAATTTCTCAATAATGTTTCAGTTGAGAAAGTAACGCAGAATTTTGGGATTTCAAAGCAACCACTTCTAAACCCTCGAAACCAAGAATGATGATAAGAATAAAACTGTACGTCGAATAGGTTGCTTCCAGAAGCAGGCTTAAATTTGACTCCTGCCAAGTCAAGTTGTATGGCAGAATTCAAAGTGCACTTGTTCAAAAGGGGGTGGTGCTTACGAATCAAAGGCAGCGGCAGTTCGGGGCGGTACCAACTGTGTAAAAGATCGAGTATATGAAAGGGGCTTTGTTGCTGTATCCAAATCTGGTGTTATTTCTAACCCCATCATATGTTTAAAAAAAATGAAGATGCATTCCTTGAGAGAAAATTGTTGGTCATTGTGGGGCAAAGTTGCCAGTGTCAGGCTGAACAAATTTTAAAGAACTTCGAAAGGAATCTGATTCTCCAGTCGTATCAAGTCATTTTGGACTGCAAACCTCATGAAATAGTTGTCCAATATGGGGTCAGTGATGGAGTACATTGAAGTAGAAATACGATTCCTGTATAGAAGTTCTATTATGAAGCAACCATCAATGAGCATCATTTCTGCAAACTTGACCTCTGCTTTTACCTCATTATCAGGTCTAATCTTGGAATCCGAATACCAATAATGAGCGGAGGGTTCAATCTCCAACATAGCGCGCGCACAATGTTCTACCAAGACCTGCATGTATGGTTGTTCTAAGCCCTCATTTTCAAATCTTTTAAATAGGCACTGCATGTAGCAGAATATTTCCTTCTCCATGGGTTGCAAATGTTCCTCGTCTCTACGAAGAGGCCCAATGGACACGACGGTGGGGGTATAGGCACCTTCATTTAGTTTACGAATCTCATCCGGAATCCTATGAACAAGTGGTACCCATTTACAGCCGTAGTCCGCCAGGGTCTGAATATTATTTGAGCTGCTTTGGGACTTCTTATCTAGGGACTCCAAAAGCTGAAGCAGTGTGCCCTCTGAAGAACTTCCTTGGTCCGCCATCCCATCAGCATCAACATCTTTTCGTTTTCCTGAATCAGCAGCAGCAACATCTATTCGAGGAGCTAATTAATTAATTACCTGTATTAGTTAATTAGGATGACCAGCCCAAAATTGTGTGAAGAAATGCCTCCACCTCAAGGTTTAATTAATTGTTCACATTTCCGGTCGAAATCAAAACAACTAGGGTAAGTGCACTAAACCCCCCCCCCCCCCCCCCCCCCCCAACTATGACCCGATAGTAAGAAACCCCTGAAGTAAGTAAAACAGAAACTCCTCAAACTATTATTTTGTTGCATTGAAGGATAAAAGATTAATCAATCGTTAATGAAAAAGTTAAATTACCTTTTAGCTCTTTAGTTGAACTAAGTCGTTTTAAGTTCAATCTATCTTCAGCTGCTTATGTAGCACATGCAATTTCAATTTCCAATAACAAAGTGACAGCACATCAAAAAAATTTCCATTGTTGCAGAGGATAACACACGGGAGGTAGAGAGCGCGCATCGGCTTCACTTACGTTCCTTCCAAAAAAAAAAAGGCTTTGTGTCTCTAAATATGGCCACTAAAGAGCGAGCTCCTTTTTGGGTTGGTTCATTGTCCTTTCGTCTTCACCTTCTCTCTTCACCTTCTTCCTTCTCAGGTGAACCAAAATTTCATTCTCTTGTTACCCAGTTAAATTTCATCACATTTCGCTGACAAAAATCCCAAAATTAAGCTCTGATTGATTCACACAATTTTTTTTTTTTGTGGGGGGGGGGGGGGGGGGGGGGGGGGGGGGGCGTCTTTTGAAATTCATCCAATTATGTGGAATTTTTTAGCATTAAAATTGAAGTTTGGGCATGATTCAATTTTGTCTCACCAGTAGGAAGAAAGAGAGACTGAATATGGCCTATTTTGCCGAAAATACAAATGTGATATATATATATATATATATTATAATATTTTATCTCTTAACTATATAAGGGTTAATTTTGTCTTTTTAAAAATTTTGCCCCTCACGTGACAGGCATGCTGTGGTTTCTGTTATTTTTCTAACTGATATTTAACAATTTGCGATAAAAGAGATAGTTAAGGGAGTTTTCTTTCAGTTAGTTCAGGATTTTTTGAAAAAGAGGAGGAAGTTATGAGAAATTTAGTGCACTTTATCCAAACAAATATAAATAATTATAGGACTTAGATAACGTATTCCTACATTATCTTATTTTATTATTTATTATTATTATTATTATTATTATAAATCCATAACCAACAAAGAACAAATTAAAAAATAAAGCAAGCATAAAATAATTCTAGGACAGAACTTATTCCTCCATTATCTTATTCTTTATTATGAATTATTATTAGTATTATTATTGTGTATATGAATCAATCACTAACCAAGAACAAAGAGAAATGGAAGAATATACAACTCACTTGTGGTGGCAGGAGCCATGAAGGACCGCCCGGTAAGCAGCTCAATCTCAGTCGCGTGCTCCATCATCAGAAGAGAAAGAAGCAAAGAGGGAGAAAGAGAGAGAGAGAGAGGGGCTTTCGGGCTGTTGAGACGAGTATTCTTATGGGGTTTAAAATAGAGGTGGGAATTTGTATTTTTTGGTCGTAATCATATCGTGTCGGGGGTATTATACTAAACAGGTAAATTTAAACCCAATTTATTTAATAATCATGTCAAAACCCTCAACACTAACCCAATCCGTTTATTAAACGGGTAAACGTATTAATCCATTTAATGACATGTTTATTAAAACGAGACATTTAATATTTAATCAAATAATAAATAAATAAAAAATTTGTCACAATTATACTAAATATTCAAAATAAGAAGAAAAATCATAAGGTATTGATAAGGTTTATGTTGAAATGACTTAAATATTTATAATAATTGAATTTAAACGGGTAATATATTACATTGGCCATATTCACGATTATAACATGTTGAATTAAACAGGTCATAAACGAGTTATACGAGTTGAACCACTCAACTATTACTCGACACGGTTAAGTAAACGGGTTAATCGTGTCAACTCGTTTATAATTTGAACCTGTTTAAGGTCAACCAAAATTTGCTGATCTCCTGTCGTTCTCGAGTTGTCGGCTATTTGTGTCTGCTATCTCTAATTTTAAGACTAATATCTTAGTGTTATAGATATTGGCCCACTCATTAATGATTTGAATTGAAAATCATATGCATTGAATGGTAGTTGTCTGTGTTAGGCACGGACAGTATAGTAATCTTTGTGAATGAAAAGTCATATGAATTTATTTATTTTTAATAAAAAAAAGCGATCATTATCATTGCTACTGTCTGTCGGGAGATTACAGCCATGGGAATTATAGTGGAGTGGTCTTGGTGGGGTATCATTGGTGTTGGGTTTATTTTCTTCTAGATGGAGGAAAGCTCAAGTGGGTTTTATTAAAAGCTCAAAACCCAGCCTTTAGGGAAAAAAAAAACCCTAAGGAAGTTAGTATAAAAAGAGAGAGAGGTTAGCCGTAAGTGGAAGAGCAAAGAGAAGAAAAACGCAGGTTTTTCCATTCTGCCCAGGTTTGATCAAACGTCCGATCTCGCTTCGTCCGTGGTCCGATCAAGTTGAAAGTTGGAGGAGAGGTTCACAACTCAGTGACGCACAATCTGAACAGTGGAGATCAGATTTTGAGCTCGGGAACAGTGATTCGTGCCCGTGAACAGTAACTGGATTTTGGTATTTTTCTCTCCAATTCTCTTTGTTTTTTGCCAAGATTGTTACTATTTTGATAAGATGTTTTGTAGCCTCTAATTGCGATTAGAGAAGACTTTGTGTACCCATTATTTGGTTGATAGTGGAGATTTTAACTGGACTAGGTCCCGTAGTTTTTCTTCCTCACACTGGGGAAGTTTTCCACGTAAAAAATTGCTTGTGTTCTTGTGGCTTGGTGTGATTGATTTGTTCTCTATTATTTTCAGCATATATAAAAGTAGAGATATACTATATTTGCTTTCATAGAGGGAGAAGAATTATTCCGCTGTGTTTGTTTATTGTCATCTCTCCCAACAAAGTGGTATCAGAGCTCTAGGTTGACAGATTGCCAGGTTGGCAGTTTGAGTTATGGAAGCAAATACAAGTAGAATGATTAATTTAAATGGTTCAAATTATCACATATGGAAAGGAAAAATGAAGGATCTTCTTTATGTGAAAGATTATTACCTACCGGTGTTTAGTGCTGAAAAACCAGAAAACAAATCTGGTATGGAATGGACTTTGTTACATCGACAGGTGTGTGGGTATATCAGGCAGTGGGTAGATGATAATTTTTTGAACCATATTAGTAGAGAGACATATGCACGTTCTCTATGGAGTAAGCTTGAACAGCTATATGCTAGACAGACTGGAAATAATAAATTGTTTCTGATTAAGCAGATGATGGCTTTGAGATACCAGGACGGGACTCCTTTATCTGATCACCTGAATACATTCCAAGGAATTATTAATCAGCTGGCTGGAATGGGTATTAAGTTTGATGATGATATACAAGGGTTATGGTTGCTTGGTTCATTACTGGACTCGTGGGAGACGCTCAGAACTTCATTGTCTAACTCCGCTCTAGAAGGTGTAATCACAATGGATATGGCCAAAAGTTGTTTGCTAAATGAAGAGATGAGAAGAAAAACACAATGATCCTCTTCACAATCAGAGATCTTGGTTACAGAAAAGAGGGGGAGAAGTAAGAGCAGAGGTTCGAAGAACATAGATAACAGCAGAAGCAAGTTCAACAAGTTTGCAAATGTTGAGTGTTATCATTATGGGGAAAAGGGACACATCAAGAAATATTGCAGGCAATTGAAGAAAGAAAACAAAAATGAGAAAGCGAAGGGAACGAAGAATGGAGATGACAGAGTTGCTACCACCACTCCTGCAGACTTCCTCATTGTTTATGATGATGAGATGATAAATGTTGCATACCATGAGACTAGTTGGGTGATTGACAGTGGTGCCTCCATTCATGCTACATCTCAGAAGGATTTCTTTACATCTTATAAATCTGGTGATTTTGGAACAGTAAAGATGGGCAACGATGGGTTGGTTAAAGTCATTGGAATTGGGGATGTGTATTTGAAGATGAATAATGGCACGAGGTTAGTTCTCAGAGATGTGAAGCATATTCATGACATTCGCTTGAATTTGATTTCTGCAGGTAAACTGGATGATGAAGGGTATTGCAGCACTTTCAGTGATGGCCAGTGGAAGCTCACTAGGGGTGCTATGGTTGTGGCTCGAGGTATGAAGCACTCTGCACTGTACGTTCTGCAAACAAAGATCTCCAACGACATTATTAATGCGATGAAGGATAATGATACAATAGAATTGTGGCACAAGAGACTGGCTCACATGAGTAAGAAAGGATTAGCTCTACTAGGGAAGAAAAGTCTACTATCTGAATTGAAAAGTACACTTTTGAAAAGGTGTACTCATTGTTTGTTAGGGAAGCAGAGCAGAGTCTCCTTCAAGAATTCCCCTTATTCGAGAAAGTCAGAGATACTGGATTTGGTATATTCAAATGTGTGTGGCCCTATGAAGACGAGAACACTTGGTGGCTCCAGATACTTTGTGACCTTCATAGATGATTATTCAAGGAAGTTGTGGGTATATACCTTGAACTCAAAAGACCAAGTGTTGGCAGTATTCAAGCAATTCCAAGCCCTAGTTAAGAGACAGACTGGGAAAAAACTGAGATGCATTCGTACTGATAATGGCGGAGAGTATTCTGGTCCTTTTGATGAGTATTGTAGACAACAGGGTATTCGGCATCAAAAGATAACTCCAAAAACTCCTCAGTTGAATGGCGTAGCAGAAAGGATAAACAGGACACTGGTTGAGAGAGTGAGATGTTTGCTTTCACAAGCCTAATTGCCAAAATCTTTTTGGGGGGAGGCATTGAGCACAGTTGTTCATGTGTTGAATCTTACACCCTGTGTTCCTCTACAGTTTGATATGCCAGACCGAGTTTGGACAGGTAAGGATGTATCCTATAATTATTTGCGGGTTTTTGGGTGCAAAGCATTTGTGCATATTCCAAAAGATGAAAGGTCCAAACTTGATGTGAAAACACGACAGTGTATATTCCTTGGCTATGGCAAAGATGAGTTTGGGTACAAGCTTTATGATCCAGTTGAGAAGAAAATTGTGAGAAGCAGAGATGTCGTGTTTGTAGAAGATCAAACGACTCAGGATATTGAGAAAGCAGGGAAATCTATGTCTCAACAAGGTGATATCTTGACTGATATGGATCCAATTCCTCTGAAGAATCTGCCATCTCAGGTTGAGAATGATGGTCAGGATGACCACCAGTGTACAGGTGATATGGATGTTCCCTTACAGGTTTAGGGAGATGTTGAGACTGATGAGCAGTTGACACTGCCAAAGATTCCACCAGTGATTCCATCCAGGAAGTCTGCCAGAGACCGACGTCCTTCCACTCGGTATTCAACAGAGCAGTATGTGTTATTGACTGATTGGGGAGAGCCCTAGTGTTTTGCAGAAGCCATAGAAGTTGAATAAAAGACAGAATGGGTTGAGGCCATGCAAGATGAGATGTAGTCATTGCATGATAACCACACCTTTAAGTTAGTGAAGCTACCTAAAGGAAAAAGAGCTTTGGAAAACAAGTGGATTTACAAGAAGAAGCCAAATGGGTTGTCTTCACAGCCACGGTACAAAGATAGATTGGTTGTCAAAGGGTTCGGTCAGAGAAAAGGTATTGACTTTGATGAGATCTTTTCTCCAGTCGTAAAGATGTCATTGATCCGTATAGCACTCGGCTTAGCAGCTAGTCTTGACTTGGAAGTTGAGCAGATAGATATGAAAACTGCCTTCCTTCTTGGTGATTTGGAGGAAGAGATTTATATGAAGCAGCCAGAGGGTTTCAAAGTGAAAGGGAAAGAGGATTATGTGTGCAAGCTGAAGAAAAGCCTATATGGTTTGAAACAAGCACCGAGACAATGGTATAAGAAGTTTGAGTCTGTTATGGGGAAGCAAGGATACAAGAAGACAACTTCTGATCACTATGTATTTGTTAAAAAATTCTCTGATGATGATTTTATTATTCTACTGCTTTATATGGATGACATGTTGATTGTTGGCAGGAATGCTTCAAGGATTGAACAGTTGAAGAAGCAATTGAGTAAGCCATTTGCTATGAAGGATTTGGGGCCAGCAAAGAAAATTCTTGGCATAAGAATCAGTCGTGACAGGAGTGCCAAGAATTTATATTTGTCACAGGAGGAGTACATTGAAAAAGTGCTTCAAAGGTTCAATATGGACAACTCTAAAGTGGTTAGCTCTCCTCTTGCTACCCACTTCAGACTGAGTACAAATGAATATCCTTCAACAGATAAGGAAAATGAAGACATGGAAAGAGTTCCTTACGCCTCAGTAGTAGGAAGTTTGATGTATGCAATGATTTGCACAAGACTAGATATAGCCCATGTAGTTGGTGTAGTTAGCCGATTCTTGTCAAATCCGGGAAGAGAGCATTAGAATGCAATGAAGTGGATCATGAGATATCTTTGAG